AACGGTCCACTGATGCCCTGTGTACCTTCCTATGTCCGATGTGCTTGGTGAACATATAACCTTCAGTCTGAGCATCTTGTGGAGGGTGCTGCTTAAATTCTTCCTTCTCCTCTCAATTTCTTGGGCCACATTGGTTGTTTTTGTTTGTTTTTTTCTGTTATTGTTGCTGGGGTTTTTTTTCCAATTGTGGCACATTTTACCTGCGCTTCTAATAGAGGACTTGTTAGTGGTGTCTTTTTAGGCCTCTGGTAGTCTTTTTGGTGCATGCTTTTCAGTGTATTTAGGTAAACTTCTAATAGTAAACATCCCAATAAACATTTTAAGACATTAGTTGTTGGGAAAACATGTACATAGTTTTCTATTTTGTAATATCTTATGTCTTCTATTCTGCCTTTCTATCTGTTCCCATTTATTTTGACGTTTTTCTCCTTTATCTGTTTTCTATCCTTGGTATCACCTTACAAGCCCCATCTCAGCCCAGATTCCTCCCTATACCTACCATCTAACTACATTTTGCAAAGCTGTATGCATTCCCTCCCACCATTCTGAAAGCATTTTTTGTCTTTTGCTTGCCTTTTAACATTGTCAGAACAAGAACACAGTATTTCTTAGAAATGCTGTACTAATTTTACATTTACTAGTGCATGATATTGCATGTAAGTCAAACCTGACTCTTTTACTAGCTATTTACCTGCATTTTTGCATCTTGCAACATCTGTCTCTAAAGCAAGATATCAACTTGGGTGTTAACAAAGAAAACCGTACTTAATATTGATAGTAGTATTGTAAAAGTACCTCTGTTGAAAAAGGAAGCTGAAGCATTTTGGACGTCTCCGCCACAATGCACAGATAACAAAAGCAAAAGAAAGCCTGGAGAATAATTCTGTGTGGCAGAAAGAGCTTCAGTAGCCTAGATGCAGTGTAATATATAGCAAATTTGTATACTGGCTTCTTTAAAATACATAATGATTGCATGCCAGTATTTGGATAGTTTACTTTCTGAAGGAAGAAGGGAGTCTGATTATTGTTTCTTAAAAAAAATAATGTTTGTTTATGCTTTGAATATTTTGGCAATGTTCTTGTGCATAAACTTTTTTTCATATTTATGTGCATAACTTCAGATAGGATGGATGGTGCTGTTTAAGTAAAAAGGACCGCATTACTTGTCCTTTTATCATCTAGATAAGCAGCAGCTGGGCTAGTTAGTACAGACAGTGCTTTAGCAAACAGCTGGTTCTTATCTGAATGACAAAGGGCCAGGGTAGAGACCTTTTTAAAAAAATATCTTGTTTCTATTTTTAATTTACAAGAACAGAGAGAAAAGAAGCTACAGGCAATCTGTAGCATGTGAGGTTTTACTGCATTTTCAGGAATATGATCATTTATTATAGATCAGTGCTAGGACCCAGAGAGGGAGCGCTCTCTTTTCAGCCTGAAGAGGAGAAGGCTCAGGGGTATCTTACCAGTGTCTGTAAGTACCTGATGGGGGGAATAAAGACGACTGATCCAGACTCTTCTCAGGGCTGCGTAGCACCAGGACAAGAAGCAATGGGCCCAAACTGAAAAACAACAAGTCTTTAAACATAAGAAAAAAAAATTTCTTCTGAGAGGGTGGTCAACCACTGGCATAGGTGCCCAGAGAAGTTGTGGAGTCTCTTTCCTTGGAGGTATTCAAAACCCAACTTGACAGTGCACTGGGCAACCTGCTCTTGCTGACCTTGCTTTGAGCAAGAGGTTGGACTAGATAATCTCCGGTAATTCTGTCTAGCCTCAACCGGTCCATGACTCTGAAGTGTCACACCAAGTGCTTCTGCTAGGGGCAGCTGTTGGTAGGAAGTATGGAGGCCAGCTGCTGCCTAGCTTGCTTTCCTCACCAGGCCTTTAGTGAAGGTCAGGGATTCGTACATCTTTGTTTGTATTACCTACTCTTTATCAGTTAATCAAATTTAATTATACCCGATAGCACTGATACTGGCTAAGAGAAGGAACAGGAATGTGTAATTCAAACCCTTTATTAGAAATGCGTCAGGAAGAGCAAGTCTATTTGAGCGGCAATCTTGCTTTGGACTGTTGGTCTCTTTGTCTTGCCCATAGCACAAGTTTCCAAATTCAATGTATTGTTTCTCACACAAACTTTCTCTTAATGATGTAAGGAAAAGACTTTTATTTTTAGCTGGAAGCCGGCTGTGTAATTGCTCTCTAATTTTTGCTATTTTATAAAAGGCATTGTATCTTTTGTAAAATATTTGTGTAGTTGGCTGTTAATGCCTTTGTTTAAACCCATCTTTTGAGATGCTAATTAGAAATGGAAAGTTTTCCCCATGAAAATAATGAAATATGTGATTCACTTTAGAAAACACAGCCATCTAAACACAACGCTCCTGCTATTTCTTTTATTTGCCCTGTACTTTACTGCATTACCAGGAGTGAATTTATATGTATTTCTGTGATTCAGAGCTTTCTTCTTGTCAGTATCTTTCTGAAAATCTCTGGAGACCTTCCTACAAATGAGTTTGAAAGTTGATGGGTTGTCACATGAAGAAGGACTGCGCGATATGGCTCACTAAAAGCTGGACACTTGTTACATAAAGTCACCAATATAGCACTGGGAGAATAAATCCCAAAGCACTTTGATATTTTCACACCTTATTTAAAGGCAGTGAAATAAAGGTTAGTTCTTCATTTAATGCCTTTATCGTGCAAATTTAAGCTCTCAGTCTCACGTTGCTATGCGTTTTTTTTCTTGTAGTTTCAGAATTTAACTTTTCTATTCTTTTTGAATTTGCTTTAGATTCCTTTATAACAGTGCCTACAAATATTGTTTAATTTACTTTTCAGTAAAGCTGTCAGTTGTAATCTGCAATTTAAAAAACTAATAAAACAAATCCTCATTTCACAATTTAAACCTTATTGAGTCTAATTCACTTGCACTGCAAGTTTATTATTCTCCTGCAGCTTGACGTGCCTCCAATTGTAATTGTGTTGACCCTCCGATGCAGTAAATCTCCCCAGTGCTTATCAAACTGGGAGAGATAAGTCTACAATTTGGAACTTCATTAAATATCTCATTTATATTAAACAGATGATGGCTTTGAACAGAAATAATAATTTTTACAGACTCTGCAACCTCCTGATCATGGTCTCCTCGACTTTCTAATGCGGCATTTCACAAGCCTCCACCCCTCCATGTACTGGGCGTTACGCCAGCGCCCAAATGTCAGAAGTAGTTAGTCCATCGGGCTGACTTCAAAGCCTCTGCTGTGAGACTGTAGCTGAGTGCTTTGTAGCCCTTGAAGCAGATTTTTTAAAATCTTTCATAGCATACATTTCTTAGTCAGCTGGGGATTGCGGGTAGAGTGATTAATAATGGGCAGCTGTTTAAAGAAGAAAAAACAACCAACAAACATGTTGTTTGTTATTGTAATTCCTGAAACCATGAACTACTCTTCTCATGCTTGTTTAGAGACCAGTCCTTGGAATAAGCATCTCATGTTCCCAGTGGCTTTAAAGAGTTTGCAGCGTGCTCAGTATCTTGCAGTATCTGCTCCCCACTGTATTTCAGTACATATAAAATATATGCCGTGGGATTTGTGTAAGGACATTGTTCTTGAGATTTAACGATATGCTTCATGAAGAGGTGTGTCGATGGGAATAGCTAATGCTTTGATGTGTGCGTTCATATAATTACCCAGCAAAATGCATCTATTTTTTTAATATTTATTTTTTTAATAGAGCTGGGTTCAGTTCATGCTCTTTAGGTGAATTGGTGTAATGGTCTCGACAAAGCTCCTTTGCTAGCATTACCGAGTAGTCAGCAGGGTGCTAGAGCTTAGGTGAACCAAGAGCTTTAGGGGCAGGAAGGCTGGATGGTGTGGGGCCTGGGTGACAGTGTGGGGAGTTTTTTGTCTCTGCAGTGAGCAATTGGACACTGACAAACTGGGCATCCGAACTGACCAGTGAGCACATGGGTGCTTGTTCTCATAGTTCCCAGGGGCTGTGTTGGCAGCGGCAGCAGAGCTGCCTGTGTCTAATGGAATGGCTAAGCCCAGCTAGATGATACCAAATTGTTTTCTTTCTTTGGCTCGCATGGGCACTGCTTTCCACTTAGCTGTGATTCTCTGGGGCTCACTGAGGAAGACTTGACTTTGTCCTCTCTTTTTGAAAAATCTCAGAGGCATATGCAGGAAAACAAGGTATGAGTAGCTTCTGCAAAAAAAGGCTGAGCTGAGGAGTTGCTCAGGGGAGCCCTCTGACAGAGAGCAGCTGGGGTGGGGAGGCAGCCATACATGTGATCTTCTTCCCTGTGCGTGTGGCCAAGCAGCCCATCTCCATTGCTTCTTCCACCACCTACTTCATTGCATGCAAGGTCTCTGTACCCTGCAGCTGAGAAAGGCAGAGGGAAGAACTAATGTTAAGTAGAAAAAAAAAAAAAGTTACTGTGAAGTCTGACTTCTTTTTTTTTTCTTTCCCTCCTAATTACGAAATGTTTAAGTGTTTGTGTATTGGTTACTAATATGTGTGGTGGGGTTTCCTGGGGGTTTCCATGATGATTACATTTGAAAGCAAATTGCACCACTTCAAAAAGCACCAGCAGCCCAATTCCAAATGGAGCCCCTGCTCTGTACTCCTGACAGGGACCTTGCTCTGACAGGCTGTCAGTGTGGGAAAGATGGCCCAGCTGTCTGCCTGATAGTATTGAAAAAAGTCAAAATTGTCTGTTTAAGAAATCATCCAACAAAGAGGCACAAAAATGCAATGATTTTTTTCACTAGTTTTCTGCTGAAGGATTTGAAATTTGACAGGGCACCATGGGAGGTGCAGTGTAAAGTGGCTTAGAAAGTTGGTCATTAAGTAGAGCTGTCATTGCAAATTATATTTGTCCAGGGTGAGAAGTTCTAGCTCATTTGGTGCCCAGACAGGTCTAGGCCTTAGGGAAGTTGTTATGGTTCCCCCGTGCTGTGAAATGGACCCTGGGCGCTAATTTTCCTCTCTCTGTGCAGCTGGAGTCACCTGGGAGCCCCGCTGGGCCAGAGCTGCCCATAGAGACTCTGCTGGACGACCGGGAACGGAGGATTTCCCATTCCCTCTACGGTGGGATTGAGGGTCTCAGCGAGTCACCCACGAGGAACGTGGCACTGAGTAGGATAATGGGTGAGTTGAATCGGCTCTGCTAATCGGGGTGTGCTTTTATTCCTCTCTGTGATTCATTGAAGGGCGATTAAAGTATTATGTGGGAATCGGGGAACATGGAGGTTGCACTGACCAACTTAAAACGTGCCTTAAGATTGTTCCATGCAAGTCTTTTGGATAGTTAATGTGAGAAAGTGAGTAAAATGGAATTACAAAGTGAATTTCATTTCCCGTGGCAGGTAACATGGTTTTTCAGTGTCTGATCTGGGACAATAAATTATTGGTTGGTCTAGTCTCCATGTTGAGTCTTCATTTGCATGAAAGTCAGTGGCTCATGGGAATTTATAATTAATTTCAGCGTGTCTTCTGCTATGTTTCAGTCATACTAAAGTACAAAAACAAACAAGACGAACTTGCATCCATTTATGCTTCTTGGGGCATTTCATTAATTTGTGTGAATTTTTGCTTTGCAGGACACCAATTTTAAAACCTCGTAACTAATTTTAAGCATCCCTTGTGTAGATTCTGTGCCATACCATCTGCATGGCCCCAGTGGATAATGAGGTTATTAGCAGTTGCTCTGCAGCAATTCAGCTTCCGATGTACAGAGCTAGGTAATAAAGACTTGCCTTGCCACAGGAGTGGTTGGATTTACTGACTAGGATGGGATTAGTTTGAAAGGCTTTTCAAATTTAAACACAAAAAGCAGCTTGATGAAAATAGTACCTGACAGAAGATGTGATGATTGCTTGCTTGAGTTGCAAGTTTTAAACATAAGATGTGGCCACTAAATCTGGGACTTCTTTTAGTGTGCCTGACACACAGTATGTATTAGGAGGTGCTGCTATAAACTTGTTATGAAGCTAGGCTGAACTTAGTTTTTAATTGCTTCAGATTGATTTTCAGCCTTAGAAAATGAAAGCTCACCACTGAGGCTTTTTTCCAATCAAAAGTTTGTATTTCATTCTGTATTGGGTTGTTGGTGTTTTTTAAAAAAAATTTTGTATTTTGGAGTTTCCTTTTTCTTTGTGGTAGCAAAATAGGACTGTTGTTAAACTCTCTGAAAATCCACAAATTTGCTATTTAAATATTTCTTCTGTTAAGTCTTTTGTCTTTTTTTTTTTATGCATTTAGGCAACGATAATTAGAAATAAATCATATTCTGGTCTCTTGCATTACATTTTGTGCAGCTCGGAAATAAAAATGCATGCCTCAGAATCAAGGAAGCAGGAAAACTTTTCGCCTAAAGTCATATGCTCTTAAAGAGGACAATTTAAAAAATATTTATTTGTTGACACATTTAAGGAGTGATAAAAAAATCGAAGTCTTTAGCACTACTCTCCCGTAGAAGGGACTAGTGCTTGTGGTGTAAAGGCTTTAGATAAAGCATTTGCAAAACATTCTGCTTTTCCCATTAGTGTTGCAGAGGATTTACACATAGAGCTCATATAAGCGTTAACGAGTTATCACTTAAACACCTTGTCCAGTGATGGGAGAAGAAACCCTGAGAGATTCCGTGTGCATGTGTGTTAGCAATGCAGTTTACTTCCACCTCAAAGGAAGACAGGACCTGCCATGCCAAATCGAACTAGTGGTTCATCAGTCTGATATCATCCCTTTAGCATCAGCCAGTAACTGATGTTTCAACAAAAGAAAAAAATATCTTTCCAAACCTCTTAAAATCTAACACATTTGGATACCTCTGCAATGTAGACATAGGGGAAGAAAATCCATCCTGCATTTTCTTAGTGTTTTATAACCTGAAGTTGACGTTTTGATTTCCTCCGAATCACCGTTTTTCTGTATTGTTTTCAGAAAAGAGGAACTATATAGAAAATAGGTTGATTGTGACTTAAAGGCATTGATGCCTTAGTTGGAAGCACATGGAAAATCAAATTCTGCCTGAGCCTTGTAGTAAATGTGATCTAGTGCAGCGTAACTGAATACTGGTCTTGCCAGGACTGGGTCATTCGTGTCTGCAGTCACAGCGACTTCACAGAGCTGTCATGTTTAAACCCAGATTTTAGGGGTTTCAATTTTCAAAGAAGCTAGTTTTTCTGAATTAATCAGTACCACTAAGTTAAAACTCCAGTGTTTATTATCTTTTATGGTATTATTGCATGCATGTTTTCTTACAGTGACATACAACAGAGAGGTATTATTACCTGTTGTGAGACAGAGGTACAGTTGCTTGTTTCAGAGCAGCTAATGTTTGTAAGACATTTATTATGCAGTGGAATTCCTGTCCTATTAGCACTGATAATGAGAAAAAACTTTATTAATTTTTCTTGAGAATATATATGTGCTGCTACATAACTCTTCCAGAGTTCTCCTCCTCTCTTGAAAATTGCCCTAAAAGTGAGGATTAGTCCCAAGGACAATCTGGCTGAGGAAGACTGGAGGTCTGTACCTTCCCATGCTGGTTCTGACCATGAAAACAAGCCAAAATGAGTGCTTTATGTAGTGCTGATGTCCTTGAGTGCTCTCCCCGTATTGAGGAGCCCTCTGACTTACGGGCTCTCCAGATCACCTGATGTCTTTTTATTTACCCCTCAATGGATTTAACTAAATAAACTTTTAATACTCTTGATATCTTGTGAGGAGGCCACAGTTTGATTCCATGTGTGAAGGAGCAGCTCTTTCTGCTTCTTTTGCTATTGGCTAGAATTGATGGATTTTGAGGTTTCTTTCTTCCTAAGTTACACTATTCAAAACTGATACTCTCAAGGTCTGGAAAATGCCTGCTCTTTTCAGTCGTTGCTCAAAGTTGAAACAAAACTTTTAAGAGAGTTTTGTTTCTTTTAAATACATCTAAAGTAGTTTTCAGGAAAGGTATTTAAGACAATTTCCTTACACTTTCAATCTATAACTGACAGCAAGAACTGGTTGTCAGAGCCTTGCTGTGAGAGTGGGAATTAAATGCCAATTTTAGAATGTGATTTAAATTATGTAAAATAATGTTTGCTTAGTGCAAAAAGGCTACATGAATCTTTTATTGTTTCTGACGATTCTTACATTGATCTACTTTTCTAGACTATTATTGCTATTATAGGTTTTCTTATGGTTTTTCACTTGATAGTATTTCACTGAAAATTTCTGATGGAGAAGAGATACCACTTTCTGCATTCAGGGAATGATATTTTTGGTTTTGACAAGGCTTTTTTTTTCTTTTATACAATTTGGTCTTGTCTTCTAAGAATTAGATGGCTATAATACATCCTTATGTTTATTTATTTTTAATATTTTCAGGTTGTGTGTTAGCACATTCAAAATAACAACTATGTTATGCTGGCTTGCTTGGCTCTGTGATTAAAAATTCAAGTCTCTTCTTCTGATACACCGTTCTTGCATATCATCCATTATGCTCCTGAGTTTTGCAATACACAAATACGTAGCTGCTGTCTGTATAAATTATTCTTATTCAACAAACAGCTTAGTACAAAGTCCTCTTTCATCTCTTTCTTCTAGTTGCTGATATTTTTTTTATGAACATGGTGGGTTTTGTTGCTAACGGTGATTAAACAGAAGTTATTTATCAGGGGGTATACAGAATAACAATAGCTTGTACTGAATCTGCTTTTCATCCTGAAGGGTCCCCCAGAACTTTGTAAAATTTCATAGTTCCTTCACAACAGGAAATAACTTTGTTCTCTACATAAATAATTGCTATCTTAAGGACAGAATCAGGAGGAAGTGCTGCTGCAAAAATTTACCTAGAGATAGAGAGTCTGTGTGTCAATGAAATGAAAATAACCCTTTACGAGTGGGATGCTGTTCCCAGCCAGAACATGGTGGTCTGCTACAATAGTCTTGCAGATCTGGGCACTCTCTTGAAATCCAAAGCCTGGGTATAGTGGAGGCATTTTTGTCCTTAGACATTCCCCAGACATTTTATTCCCAGTCGCATCTCTGTTTAGCTTAGAAAATTAGATGATATGAGTATCTATGGGAAATTCTGCCAAACCTCAGTATATTGCTGGGGGCAAATACGTTGTTAGTGAAAAATAAAAAAATGGACAAGTTCTAATTTCACATTGCATGATTCTCTGTATCCCTCCTGTAGGAAGTCTCATATCTATTATCATCATCATCACTATTTTCTTTTATTATTATTTGTATTATTTATTACTTCATTCTTCATCACAGAATAGCTGTTGCTAATTTCTTGGTCAGACAGGTTAGGCATCACTTGCCATTTCAGAGCAAGAAAGGCCCTCTACTTATGGAACAGGCTTGAAGTGTACCATTGACTGAATCCACGGTACCAAAATGCTCATGAGAGCTCATAAATACTTGGTTTTGAACACATCATAAGGTTGTTTAAAAGATTTCTTAGACTTGCCTTTAAAGATAAAGCAATAGCAAAAGCGCAAGAACCAAGCCAGATACAGTACCATGACAATGCAGTGTAGTATGGGAGCCAAGTTATCACAGCAAACAGATTAACCAAACTTCAGGGATTTTGAAGATTTGAAAGGACCTGGAGTTGTTGGGTTCTTCATGAGTAAGCCTGTTATTCATTTTATGTACTGCATATGCTCAGGGTTTTTTTGGAGCGCTTTATGTTGGTGGTTTAATTCAGGTCCAAACTATTTTCTCGCCTATTATAGGTCTATACTATTACAGGTTTGAAGTGTTGCTTTTTTGGCAATTATTCCTTGTAAGCTGAAACTCCTCATAGACCTGGAGACCAGCCATTTGGTACTGGGGCTCTGAAACTTCTTTTTCTGCACAGACAGATGGAAATCCTTCTTATATTGTGTTTGGTATGGTCCTCAGGCTATGCTTGTTTAGATTGGTAACTTGTTCAAGGTATTTGAGCCTTATTGTCCTGAGATGAGACACATTTGAAAGGGAGAATGTTTTTCCTTCGTTATTACACCTTCCAAAGTACTTTATATTATTACAGATTACCTTGATGAAGTTAAACTAATATATGCAAAGTTGGACTTCAAGCATGTTCAGAGTCTAAATTTTATAGGACTTTCATAGCCCAAGGGAAAATTAGTGTCTTGGAGAACTTTGTAGACAGCTCGAGCACCGTCTTAGATTTGTAGATCAGTCAAATATACTGATGATTACCAGGTTTGAAGTTTCTTTGATGTTTCCTTGTGATTTTTCTCACAACACTTGCAGAGTTGCTTTCTCCAAGGGTGTTTTCTGTCCACTTCAGCTGAGCTCTGTACAAAGGAGGTATTGAGTCCATTGCTGAGGTCTGTCTAACCATCTGCGGGAGGTGAAGCCTTTCACATGTTTTTAGCTTCATCTGCAGTGAAAAGCATGGGCACATCAGATGGGTTTTTTGCTTAATTTCAAAGCAGCTATTAAAATGTCAGTCTTCACCCTTGTCGGATGTAAAGAAGGGTGGTGAAAAGTTAAAAATGTTACTGAATTACTGTAGCCTCTCAAATGGGAAGTTCAATCTGCGGAATGCTATAAGGTTATAACGTTTCACAATCAATTCTTTGGAGATGTTATTAACTACAGAGTTAACAGTCTTGTAGGCATTATGTTTAGAAAGAAGTACATTACCAGGCTAAACATTAACCTATCCGTCAAAGAAGCTGTTGCTGGGCAAAGGATCAACTGTTATGCAAGCTGAACACAGACATTTCAGTTTGACAGTGATGAGATGTTCCCATGCAGTACCTTTTTCCTCCAGCTACTTCTTCAGCCTTCTTCAATGATCTCTTTTGAAGCCAATTTTCCTCCCTTTGGAAAGCTATACAAAATGTATTATCTAGTGCAGCAATGAATTTAGTCAGGTCTTTGCGCATTTGTTTGTTTGATTTTTAATAATTACATGCAAAGGTAGTGATGGTAACTGAAACCTTTCCAGAAAAGAGGAAAAAATTAATTTTCCCTCCATGTTTGTAGGAAAAATAAAGTGTTAAAATATTTGATGTGTCCATAGAAGCAGTTTATGGTATAGAAATAGATTATTATGTTATGTTATGAAATATATTATTATGTTATGTTATGGAAGTATATTGTTACTGTGGTGCATCATAGTTTTAGAATAATTTACAGTTTGTTGTCAGATTAACAGCTGATTATATTGTTACTATGGTGCATCATAGTTTTAGAATAATTTACAGTTTGTTGTCAGATTAACGGCTGATTAAGCTAGTGCTTTTCTTCTTACAAGATGTGACAATTTTACTAATTGTTTTAGTAAGATAATACATTTCCAGGAGTAAAATTCATGTAATGTCATGATCATTCTTTAGAAATAATGTTGAGTGAGTGAGAGTTGAGACCAAACATTTTAAATGACAGATCTTTTTAAGTTGAGCAATATCCAGGAGGAAAAAATATTTTTAAAGGTATTCTATCACATTAAAATTTATGTGCAAGTAATGTGAAAGAATCACACTTAATAATTAGCCATTGCCTCAGATAACTGAATAATTTTCATCCAGATTTGCAAATCTTGATTTTCCTTAGAGAAAGTTTTAGCTTAGTGTTTCTAGAATCTGAGATAATCTGTTTATTCCAAGTTGAAATTTAAATGATGATAATTCTATATTTCTGCTGTCGTCCAGATAATATTGCATAACTCTCACCCTCCCAACTCCGTATCTCACAAATGTATCCTGAAAAACAGATTTGTTTAGGTTAAACCATAGTTATGTTACAAAGCATTGCAATGAAAATGTTTCTTCTGATATTCTTTAAAGCCTTTTAGTCTGTTTTGGTGGCATAAAGTTCTGTATAGTTTTAGAAATTCATTCTACCTTTTTATACGGCAGTTTGAAAATTGTTGTGCAATCTTATGCATTGAAGTAATTACTGGAAAATGTAATTATAATGTATATATTTATCCCTATAAAAACAGCAGTGCTAGTGGTTTTATAATATTTATATTGGTGGTAATAGAATTAGATATGTTTTTTCCCAAATTTTGCACGTGTGCCTCCAGATTATTTTTTAAAGGAGAGAATGAAAATTAGAATATAGCATGAGTTCTCATCACCTTTCACAATTCTTACCTTTGTGGAGGCATTTTTAAAGGGTTCCCAGTTCCAAGTTCCCAATAGCAGTCAAACAAGTTTCAAATTTCATGAGGGCAAGTTTGATCAGAAGTTATGAGCTCTGTTAGTCTATGTTGAACCTATTCTTCATTTCTACCAAACAATTTGATGCAAGAGAAGGTACTATCTTCTGGGACAGGTGCTTTTTAGTGGTGTCTAGTGACAGGACCTGAGACAATGGGCACCACCTGAAACACAGGAGGTTACCTCTGAACATCAGGAATCACTTTTTCACGGTGAGAGTGACTGAGCACTGGCACAGGTTGCCCAAGGATGTGGTGGAGCAGAAATATACAAAAGCCATTTGGTCACAGTCCTGGGCAACTGGCTGTAGGTGTCCCTACTTGAGCGAAGTGGGAGGCTTGGACCAGTTGAGAGGTCCCTTCCAACCTTAACCCTTCTGTGAGTCTGTGATCTTCTTGCAGTAGGCTGCAGATACAACTGGTATATATTACTTTTCAGAACTATGCATAGGAAGATGCATGTAAAGTGAGACACAGTTAATGTTATTATCTGTGTTGTGTCACTCTTACCAGTAGCATTGCAGTTTGACATGACATTTTATCAGCTGTGATTATATATTATTCAAGGCACTCAATGCCTTTATTTAGTTTTGGGTTTTTTTTTCTCCCTTTTATTGCTCAGGTAAATATCAGCTGTCTCCAACGGTGAACATGCCCCAAGATGACACTGTCATTATTGAAGATGACAGGCTGTCGGTCCTCCCTCCTCATCTCTCTGACCAATCGTCATCCAGTTCCCACGATGATGTTGGGTTTGGCACTGTTGATGCTGGCGGATGGGCTAAAGCTGCAATTAATGAGTCGACAGACTGGTAAGAGCGTGGTTTAGTGGAAGGAAAAAGAAGAGATGGCTGCAGTTATGTCTTTTCCTTTAGTTTGATTTTTGGCTACTTGCTTATATTAATTTTTTTTTTTATCATCACGTTTAGATTTTTTCAAACTGGTAATTGTCCCTGTTTCAGGAAGGAAGTCTGTACAGATAATTTGTTAAGACTTTTTATTTCTGGTTGCAGTTTAGTGCTCTGTCAAAGCACATTTGTGAAAATGTTACTAACTGTTGTTAAGACCAGATCAGTATATAGCTGCATTAATTTGATGATTTAATATTAATTCAATTGCCAACTGAGCTAGCTTTTGTAAAAAAAAAACTCTGCAAAATTAGACACTCGAGTTTATGAAAGATGAAAGAATAATTCCGATTGGAAATTTTAATTTGTAATCTTCACTGTAACTATTTCTAAGTCTATAAATCAAAGATTTTCTTTTTATATTCCAATATATATCTAGGAGCCTTTCAATACTTCTGTATATTTTCTTGATTTTCCTAATAATGTACAGTAATTTTAAAATCTTCTTAGAGGTCAAGGCAGCTCTTTGTTTTGCCTCAGTGTTAATGCTTGTGCAGCAAGAACTAGTTAAGATTTCTTTATTATGCATGAAGAAATACCTTTGATATCATTATATGATTTGTAACTGTCATGCGAAGGTAGTGTACTGTAATAGCTCTACATTTAAAAATATGGAAAGTAATAGTTCCACATTTAAAACTATGGAAAGTAACTTTATATGTTTAATCTATAGTAAAAATAATTTATGTGAATCTTAGGTTGACTCTCTAATTACTTTTATACATTTTAATATAAGAGGCTTAATGAGAAATGCATTGAGCTCTGTTATTGACTTGCTTAGGTTCCTGGCAAAGAAATACTGTTTATTGCTTAGTTAGTACAATTAATACAGATCTAAGATTTAATTTGCAAGTTCTGTAATTATCTATAGTAATAGCAAAATAAAAGCCCACCCCTGTACACTGTCACTTCTTGAAGCTAGATAATTACCACAAATGGTGTGAAGTATATGAATTTTATTTTTCTTGTCTCTTGAGCCTGTTATGAATGTGATAGCAATAACTTAATAAAACAGCAATAGCACCTGCCAGCTGATATGTACCTATCAGCTTCTTCTTTGCTTTCTGTTAGTTTATTTCATCTTATGTCCAGGAACTGAGTTCTGTACTTTAAGCACACTTTTAATGATTGTATAAAAAGGTAATTTTTTTCATCCTCATTTGCGGGGGTTTTTTTAATGTTACAGCTCTGCTCTTGGACAAGTCATACCTGTAATTTGGGCCCTTGGAAAGTCCATCTGCCTTTTGTAAAAGCTTTTAGAGCTGAGAATCTGAGATGTTTAAATAGAACAGTACTCAAGGCTGAACATAATAGCTTATTGCTGAGGGAATTTTTTTAGCCCAATATGAGCAAAAACCTACTGTGTGAAGTAAGAGCCCATTTGAAACCTGCAGATGCTTTTACATTTACTTCTGCAGCATATCTTGCTAGTCATATACTTCTTTGAAAATGAAAGTAACAGTAAAGAAAACAGGGATTTGGATATTGTGGAATTGGTCACGCTCAAAACCTTTGAACGTGTGTATGAGAAATTGTAAAGGTCTTCAGATACAATTGCACTTACAAGAGTAGATCAGTGCAATGCCTTACTACCTAATATATTCTGTTTGTAAAAAAGTAAATAGCAGAGAATTAGATTGTTGCATTAATTTCCTGCTGCTAATGGACGAAGGAAGACTTGTAAAATGAAGGTGCATTGTATGATTTTGCTAGAAGGCACAAAGGGTAAAACTAAGAATATGGATGAAGGGTTATCCAAACAAGAATGGCAGCTGTTCTGAATCACAGAAGAAAATGTAAGCTTTTCCAGCCTCACAATATCTGCCTAATCCTTGATGAAAATGTTATGAAAACAAAGGGGCAATAAGACAGGATTAATAAGTGGAATTTTAATAACATTGAGGGTCAGAAGACGGTTACATTCTTTCAAGGATCAGCTGTCATTCCAGAAATCTTATTTGTTAAGTATGCTAGAATATAGTAAATTGCATTTGGCATTGCTTAATGACTTGCACTAAATTCACCTTCTGTCTTTTATTAATGTAGTTGAAAAATATTATAATGAGGCATTTTTAGGGGCATTAGTTCCTCCTCTGTGCTCATTGGTTTTTCAAGTTGTGGATCTTCACAGGGGCTTTTGAATACTTTTAGGCAATGTGCATGCATTCAAACTCCAGTGATCTGCTCCTTCCTTAATTACTAAAACACGCTCGTGGGTCATTAGTAGTAGAAGTAAACCAGGATATGGAAACAGATGACTCTACATAGGGCTCAGATATTTGTACTGTAAAAAGGCATGAGATGTCGTGGTGTCAGAGAGCAAGTATTTTTTGGTGCTAAGTAGTGCCTTTAGTATGCAGGATACTATGCAAACCCGGAGTAATAATCCCCCTAGTAAGTGTGTGTGGAAGGTAGGTGTAATAAGGGAAGCAGAGAGAAAGCCCCTAAAGGTAGTGTCAGTGGAAACGCTGGGATCCAGTCTCCAAAATTCCTGGCTGCTGACACAGTGTCCAGGCCCACTGCTTTCTCCAGGACCCATGGTGCCCTTTTCGAGTTTTATTTAACTTTGGAGTTTTAGTCTGTTCTTAGGACATCAAGTTGAATATAGATGCACATGCTATATTTATATGAAAATTATATTCAGCTTTATTAGAAGCTTTATATATATAGTACAAAGGAAGCTCATATGAAAAAAGGAGCATACATCCAAAACAAATAGTGGTAGAAATTCACCCTGTTTGAAGAAAGTGTCACAGGACACTGAAGCCGGTCATCTTTAACTAACGTGAGCTGTGTTAACAGATGTTGCTGGAGAAAATTCTCACTTAGTAAAACCACATTGTTCTGGCCTTCAGATACAGGGCTAACTAGCAGTGAGCCAGAAACTCCTGTGTGGCCTTGGGAGAGTCATTTATGATCCGATTATGAAAGGTGTTGAAGCCCTGTGAGTTCAGTTGAGTCACTCGGAGGACATTTTCATACTTAGGTGGTTATTATTCAGCTACATGTTGCGCTGCTGTAAATGCTAGAAGTGTGTAATAGCCTTGACGGTTTTATCTTTCTATCACGTGGAGATAATGTTTTCCCTATTTTGTGGGAGTGAATATGAGGACTAAATAGTTATTTTTGAGTTTGGGTTCTGATTCATCAGAGCTTTTAAGCATATGCTTCAAAATGTTGCTAAATTGTGCCGACATCTCTGAAATAGTTGCAGTAATTAAATGTAAAACATTATGAGCCTGAGCCAGAAACATTAAAGTCAAAAGGCACTTGACATTGACTTTATTCATATAAGCTCTGATCCTGCTCTCACTTAAGTATTACATGCTTGTCACATGCACATATCTTATTATTTGTAAATCCGCCACTACTAGACTGAATTTCTTCTAGGCTGCCTGGTAACACAGATAGTGATTTTCATCCTTTATAGTACTTGATGCCTTTGGACACTTTTCCTTACCTCTCTTCACCTTTGTGCCTAATATCCAGGTGTTTCTTGATCAAAGATGCTTCTATAAATTATAGTACATGGCATACATAAACATGTGCATGTTACAGAATTTAAAAGTATAAGCTGGTTTCTGCAGATAGTCACTGTTTGCCTGTTTCTCACTAGGTATGAGGTATGTATTATACTTAGCCCTTAAAGTAGGAAATAATTCTTTTGAAACATGTTACTGAACAGTAACATGTATGTGTACAACATTTTGAATGGCATTTATTCAGAGATCTCAGTGACAAAATATTTAGCTTTTTTATCTTGAAGTACAACAGTAATCAAAGAGGGGATTTTGAGGGATGATCTTCCTATGGGATAGATAACAATGATGCAAAATACTCTTTTTTTTTTTTTTTTTCCCCCAGTATTTTATGCTTTTGATTTCTTTTTGTGCCAGCTGAAGTAGAAAGCTAAATTCTTTGGGATTGCCTTCTGGATCTTTTTAATAGTCTTCCCTTTTTCAGGAGTCAGAAGATCTTTGTGAGAATATGCTTTCATATTGTTCATTAGCAATAAGCAATCTTGCAATTTTTTGATCATTTTATATTGTTTTTAACATGTGTTTTGGCCACGGTGATGCATTGCAAGCCTAGGGTTTAGCTTGCACACCAAATTTGCCTGCATTCTTGCATTCATGATTCTGCCAACATTTGACCAATATTAATGAATCTACCTTCAGCATGCTTCTCATGAAGCATGGGGAAACACTGCTTGCTGCTCGCTGAAGACCTGACTTACTCAGCTGAGGTCATGCAAGAAACCTGCAGAAGAGACTGAAACTCAGTCCAGTTACCGCCATTTTTGATTTAGTGGTGGAACTATTGTGGCAAATACTTGCTCTGTAGGGAAGTAATGAGTAAAAATATGTTTGTCTGTCATAGCCAGGTTAAAAGCAGGAGGTGCTGTGAAAAATTTATAAGCAATTTCGCATATGGAGAGAAATTTTAATGCAGAGTCTTTAAATGAAAAAGTTTAGAGCTCTCTGGGCTTCAGGCAGGACAAACTCTATTTATGCTTTACTAAAAACATTTTGTGATGAAGAAGAATCTGGTAGTTTGTTATCAGCAGAATATATTTGTTTCTCATGAAGAAAAAGCAACTGTTTTGTTCTCCCTCAAATTATTCCTGTCTTGGGGCTGTGCATTCCGATAGTATAGTATATGTATAGTGCATCGTGTATATATATGTGTGTGTATATATATATATTTCATTAATGCTCCTAAGTGAAATTCTTGGTACTTTTTAACTAGAATTGGTCAATGTAGTAAAACAAGTCCGTCGTGTGTGTAACTGACTACTTGCAGTGGTTTATTTTAAAATGTGCACTTTATTCTTGGTAGAAGTCACATGCTAAATATATGCTTTTCTCTGCAGAGTGAAAGGTTGTGTGATATTGATAAATGTTTGCATGATTTTTTTCCCTTCTTACAGCACTCTTAGTCCAGATGTTGATCCAGTGCTTGCCTTCCAGCGAGAGGGTTTTGGACGCCAGAGCATGTCAGAAAAGCGTACAAAGCAATTTTCAGATGCCAGTCAGTTGGAGTTTGTTAAAACACGAAAATCCAAAAGCATGGATCTAGGTAGTGAGTGATACTTTTTCAATTGTTTTATTTGAATCTGATTTTCATGTTGTAAGTATATAGATTTTGTAATTCCAAACACATTGTTTATGTTCAGTACTACTGTACATAATGTCTGCTCGTGGGAAGTAAAGTATTCTTAACATGAACGGCCAAGTGGCCTGTGTAGTTTCTACTACTTGTAAATGTCCATGCATTTAAATACCGTAGCCCTCTGGATATATGATTATACATAAACATTAAAAGTATTTATTAAAATGGAGGTGAAAAGTGCATTTACCAATCCATATAGAATAACTGCATAAAACTGTACCACACTGTGGTTTGGGGTAGACAGGATTATTCTCAGTTCGCGATTATAGTGCAAGTAGCCTTCGTAGTCTCTCATTTTGTAGATGGATTTTGATTAAGATATTAAAGATATGAGTGTTGTTTTTTAAAGACTTCGTTCAGAATGAGAAAATGGGCCTAGTCCGACACCTATTTGAGACCCAGGTTTTAATATTTATATCAGAAGCCCTATAAAGTAGCAGCAGCTAAGACAGGCAATCGACTATAAACATTTTAACTGATAAAACAGCTCAGAACAAGTAATCGCTAACATGCCCGTGTATTTTTCTGCCACTGAATTTAAATTCTGAAGTGCAGACTCTAGTAACCTTAAACAGTGAGTTTTGATTGTTTAAACACACAGAATTCCCTACTCAGAATAATAAAACATAATACAATTCGCTCCTTTACAATAATTATGAATATGTTAACTACAATCCCGAATTCACCAGCTTCCTCAGGGGACAGTAAGGTTGGTGGTATTGACTTGTCTTGACTAGTTGTGAAGTGCTAACGTGTAAATAACATATTGTACCTGCCTGTGATGTGAACATGACTGACATTGCATGAAGGTTACTAGTTTGCTGCCATTTCTACCCAGAACGTTTGCTTACTGTTGCAGTTTATTTGCATGAAGTATGACATTGCTAAGGTCCCCTAACTTGAAAAAAAAATGCAAAACAGAAGGAATGTTGGATGCATGTGGGGCATGGGCACTAACTGGGCTAACCATTATACATTTACCTTTTAACAGTAGCTGACGAGACTAAGCTCAGTACAATGGATGACCAGAAAACAGGTAAGAATTGACAGTAAGGCTGTTGCTATAGAAACCTTGGTCAAAGCAGCTTACCACAATTACAGAACTGCCAGTCAAATTGCATGAAAACATGAATATTCCAGTACTTGCATGGCTGCTTTCTATTGTTGTGAATAATCAAGTCGTACAGAAAAAGAAAATTCTCTATAGAGATGAGTATCCAGGGTAGTATATTCAGCCAGGTCATACATGTGACTGTAGGTGGACACCTGATTCTACACTCTGAACTCATAAATATTCACAGTTGTGTAGATATTTTTTTTTTTGTCCTTTCAAAAAAATCTTGGAAAACCTCCTCCTAGCTTGAAACTTTAGTGTGGAGAGAGATGATGGAGAAGATTTGGATGTTTGGCTATTATGGTGCTCACACAGTGCTTGGAAATAATTATTTTAATTAGAAAACTGCTACCTTTGCCTTAAGTGGTCATCAGATACATGTGAGTTGAGTTGAAGATTATTTGTGCAAGTTGATTTGCCTTTGGAGCTGAAACCTAAGCATTGTAGCAGAACAAAAGAATATGTAAATAGAATCTTTTCCACATACCATCGATTGTAACAGCTCGTACAATGATAATGAGAAATAGCTTTCAAAGCATATTTTTTATTAGTAATTAAAATAATGCACCAACTGCAATTATGAACCTTTATGATTTATTAATATAAGTTAGCTTTTGACCTTTGGAATGCTATCTTAATTAGGCTAGATCCAGAGGACACCATAACATTACTTAGCTCTAATTAGGAACAATTCACCTTTTAAACCTGAAAATATTATTTATTTTAGCATGATTTGGGGAGTAGGGCATTCCATACAGAATTTACAATTAAAAAATCACAACTGCATCTCTGTTTAACCACACTTTACAACATGAGTAGGAATACTGAAAAGCTGTAAGTAATCAAGTGAAAAAATTATAATTTTTATTTAAACAGTAAAACTTTTAGCTCTTAAAATGTTGCAAAGTATGTCTGCAGACTTGCAGCTTTACAGATTGAGAATGAGTACACAAAATTAAAATGCTTGAACGTTTTGAAGGATTAATGCCATCAGAGTGTGGATGTATGAACTCTGTTTATGGTTGTGGTAATAATCAGTGCTTAGGAACTGCCTTCATCCTTGACCATTATTCACCTAAGAAGCAGCTACAGATCAAACTAAAAATTATTGTAAATTATTTTTCGTGTTCTTATTAGCCTGCCTATTTGAGTGGGATGTGATTAGAATGGTGTAAAAAGTGTGTTTCAGTAAAATACGGTGCTTAGATTTTAAAAGTGTGTAGTGGTTTTGGTGGTATCACTAGAGGGTGATATTAACTGAGTGTAGTTTTTCTGTATGTGTAACACCTGGATTAAATTCCAAAAAAGAGACAAGTCAGACAACGTGGGTGAAAGAGCATGACCATAGCCATCTGGACTAAGCAGTTACATATTTTCTGCACAGCAAGCTCAGTGGCTGGAAAAAAGGAAAACCACCTTTTACTGTACTTTTATTTTATTTATCTTGCATGCTTTTAACCAGGTTTTTTTATATAAACACTGGATTTCTCCCATTACTGAAGATGGATGTGGGTGTTAAACAAACCACTTACTGTAGTTTGGCTTAAATATTGTCTCATTCTAAGAAAAAAATGCTGCAAATGTGTGTTGAACTATGTTTTAATGAACTCTAGAAGACAGAAAACTTCAACATGTATTTGCTTTAGAAAAAATAAAAACAAACTCTCTTACAGTCAAAGTTGGACGTAATAGCATTGGCTGAAGAGTGTAGAACTCACCAGCCTTAGTTACTATAATAGATTTTTAATTATTTTTCTTTCTATAGTTCATTTGAAGTGCCTAATCCTTGCACTGTTTACAGTTCATCCTAGAGGTTAGACATATATTCAGTAGCAGTTGAGCATGGCTCATTTATTGAGTCCCAGGCATACTGTAGTTCTGGGTGGGGTTTTTTTCTGTGTACACATTGTGAAAATGAAGAAGAAAGAAAAAAATAAAAGAACTTTTATTCAAATTGTTTATTTATTTATTTTCACAGTGCTTTTAAAGAAAACAGTTTTATTAAATGGAACAAAAACTAAACTATTTTTAAAGCAGTTACTTGCTCTATTCCTCTCCTACTGTCTCCAGCCAAAATGTTACTCTTTCATTGTATGAATTGAGCTAGAAATGGGATTTATCAAATCTAATGGAGCAGATGTTAGTAAATAAATAGACTCACTGCTAATGCCCTTTAAAAAAGTGTTTAGAAAGTAGACTTTGTGCCTTTGCAAAACCGGTTTAATTAAATCAAGGGAAGTTAGGCATTAGTTGCTGGTAGCATACCAGTTAATAAAAAAAATGTTTCAGAAAGAAACAAAATTATCATTTTAAAATTATTTAAAAGAAAGTGCTGATGAAAAACTTGCTTTATAGCCTTTAAAATTAGTTACTGAAGGAAACATTGTTTATCCTTTGACACCACGCTTTTTGTGTTTGGAAATCACCAAAGTGGATTTGTGGCACTGTATAAATGCTTAACATAAGATGAGAGAAGGGAAAGCACAATGAATCGTTAAACAGCATCAGCCTAAGGGAGAAGCAAAGGGCTTGGAGCAGGGAGCAACACATCGGCTTCATGTAAACTAGGTGTATTGAATGTCTCGTTGGATCTGTATGTGCTGTGACGTTAGGTGGTGGGGGCTGTCTGTGCCGTGTGAGAGCAGATGCACACCCTGCCAACAGAGTCATGCATGAGCAGAGGGCAGTTGCGTGGGCTGGAGGGCAAGGCTTGGCCGGCGTCCCCAGGGGTTGGCCAGCTGGGGACGTGGGGAGCGGTGACGCACGTGTGGTGGGCGCTTGGCGCGGTGGTGTGAGCATGTTACCAAGGCCTTGAGAGACGGGTGGATAGGGGGGTGTGGCGTGTCAAATAGAGCTGTGTGGCTGAGCATGTAAGCGGGGCATGCAAGGAGGCCACGCACATGGTGGCAGTCACGGTGGGAGAACTGCTGTGGCACGGAGGGATGACTCTACCTCAAAGGATATTTGTTAAGAAAATGGTTGGAAAGGGCAATTTTTATAAACTTCAAATTTTAAAAAGGATAAAAGAATCCCTTTCATCCCTCAGTCATATATAGATGCTTTAGGTAGATGTGTCTTTTCCTCTTTTTTTTTTCCTCTACTTTAAATTCTGATGTCAAAATAGAACTCGTTCTGAGCAGATAACATTTCTGATGATTACCACCAGCGCTGTAAAGGCTGTAAGAAAATGCTGACATTTTTGTATTTAGAAAACAAGGTTTTGATGTGACTCATAAATTTTAAACAGAATCAATTTTAAAGAAAGTTTGCTGTTTCTCACCGGATTATGGGTAAACAACTCACTTTCTGGCTGCTGAATTCTAGTAATAAATTCTGAACTCACTCAATTTACAGGGAGGTTTAACTACATATTTTGAAAATAGTAGACTTGCCATGAAGTGGCCATAGAAAATAGTGACGGTATTAAAATATACATAGCTTTATGATCACAGTGTTGAAATGGCTTGCAAAAGGACATTTCCCTCGTTCAGATTCTGCAGCCCGTCCACATTTGTGTTCATGGCCACCCAAGTTCAATAAATACTCCTATCATTTCTGTAATCCGTTATTAGTCTTACAGTACTCAAGGAACATTAGGTCATATCCCATCTAGCTTTTCCTTTGGGAAAGCACGACTTACACAAATACAGTTCTCACAAAGATCCGTACTGGGTGGCAGGAAATGGAATTTTTTTTTAATGTCCTTTATGAACATAAATGGGCACATAAATGCCTTCTTTATAATTACTGTTTACAAAAGGAGCCTCTCAGTAATTAGGAAAAGATATATGAGCATTTCATTTCAAGGTTGCAAAGCAGAATCTTGAATAAGGGAAGTTTACAGTAAGTTGCCATGTAAGAGGATACCCTTTCCTTTTGTATATGAAATTGAATCTGTCAAACAGCTGGTTTATATATGATTGTCCTTTTTCCTCCAAAATGTTGCATTAATTTTTCCTGTTTCATGGACTTTTTTTAACAAAATACAATCCTGAAAGCTAAAAACAAAAGAAGAGCTCATTTCTTGTGTACTGCAGGCATTAGTGGAGGAATAGCAAATTTCAGCATATGCTAGAAAGTGGACAGTTTGATAGGTCACCATCTAAATTGGAGCTCTTTTACTTGGTAAAGAAAGCGTTATGTAAAAATACTTGCCTTAGACTTCAGCCCATGTTCAGAAGTTTGGTGAACCTGGACTGCAACTTGTTTGCACAGCTGGGAAGTCATCGACACTCCCTTGTCCCAGCTGGCTGCTCTTATTTGCCCCAGCAGCTATGCTGTGGCCCCAACCATCCTCACAACCCTCTGCCCTCCAACAGGTACGGCTGTGAGTGAGAGGGTGGCTTCTTCTAGGAAATGTGAGTTCATCAAGATAAAATTTCTCATTTGTTGGGATGTGTTTATTTTTGGCTGAGGGTCCAAGCAGCAGGACTCTGGACTGCTGGGGGAACCAAACTGTAGGAGTAGCGTAGACGTGTGAAAGAGGATTTCTGGTTTGTTTCTCTTTACAAGTTCATCTTATCAGTATGGCAGCTGAAGGGGAATACTTTGACAGCTGCTGTTTGAATTTATTTGATCTGAGGGATTTCAGTTCAATGTAATTGCTTGGACTTCCAATAGCTGAATAGAAAATTAAAGCATTTGCTGCCTTACTCCATCTCATACCAAGTTAACAAACGTTGTGGAGAAGCCTTGCATGCTGCTATTCTGCATCCCTTCTGTAGGTCCAGCAACCCTCTTCCTCCCCACCCAATACTGAATGGTGAAAGAAGCTGTTTTTTCAGAGTAGTAGCAGTTTTCCCCAGTTTAAGGTAACTTCACATACCTTTGTTAAAGAATGGTGACAGATACTGCCTCTCTTCTCCCTCCTAATATCTACCAGAATAGCAATCAGCTCCAGAGCTTTATATTATTCTGAGATAAATAGTTTAAAAAGATTATTTTCCTTTATTACATTATTCACACCAGACCATGCTTACGAATGTATTGCTCGTTGGTTTGGTATTCCAGAGGGTTCAGTTCTTGGCTCTATCCCGCAGTGCTGGCCACCCAAGTTCAATAAATACTCCTATCATTTCTGTAATCCGTTATTAGTTTTACAGTACTCAAGGAACATCTTTCTGTGCCTCTGCCATCTTTCTGTGCTTTACAGTACTCAAGGAATTTATCTTTCTGTGCCTCTGTCAGATGAGGTTACTGGTATCAACGGAGTATCAACCCACCACGTGGTACTGCTGTGGTGCCACAACATTCTTCTCTGTTCTGCTGCCTTTGGGTAGTGAAAAAGTGAGGTTTCCATATTCTAGATGAGGGCTCTGGTCTCATAATTTCAGGAAATGTAGCTTTGATGATGATGTTGCACCTCATCTCCAGCCCCAAACCCTATGGACAATCTGGCCAAAACTATATTGCACGTTTGAATAAAATGCCTTTGAATACATACAGTGATTCC